AAAATGCACATTAAAGGTAAATGCGCCTTACTTCTTTGTCCTTGTATCCCCTTGTATCCCCAAGGCTTGCTGAAGTTTAATCTGAGTATCAGAATGAAGAAGAAAATTGATTTAGGGACTTTCATGGTTGTTGATGTCAGATGAGTGGAGCTGAGTATTTCAGACACGGCCGATGTGTTCCTGCACTCGCTATGGTTCATAGAGAACGGTCTGAAAAGAGAAAATATTTGTAAGTGACAGGTCTCTGGGTGGAAATGTCTGGAGAATAGCCAGACTGGTCCAGGTGGATACTAACCACTCATTACAACCAAGGTATGCAGAAGAGCATCTTCAACAACACTTCCAGCCTTGAAGCAGATGGCCTATAGCAGCAGAAGACCGCACTGTCAACTAAGGAACTGCCAACAGGAAAGTGATACTGCAAACAATATCTCACCACAACTATTGGGACAACAGAAGATTGGAAACATGTTGTCTCGTCTGATGAGTCTCCGTTTCTGCTGCGACGTTCAGTTGGTAGGATCCGTATCTGGCGTAAACATGAAATCAATCCTGAATTGTATCAGCGGTACAGACTGCACCGCTTAGTGAGCACCATTGAGACACCACAGCCTACCTGAGTATTGTTGCTCTCTATGACCACAGTATGCCCATCTCCTATTGGCTGATAATGTGTCGTGTCACAAAGTTCAGATCATCTCAAACTGTTTTTTTTTTTAAACCTGAGTTCACTAACTCAAATGGCCTCCACAGTCATCAGATCCCAATCCAATAGTGCATCTTTGTTCTCTATTGTGGTAGCACGGAAGATTGGCATCGCGGATGTGCAACCGACAAACCTGCAGGTACCGTGTGATGCTGTCATATCTCGCGTCGATATGAAGCAAAATCTCTGTTAAGTACAGAAACGACGCACACCTACACCACAGGTGAAAGAAAAGCTAAAATTGGGCGACTTTAGGAGAAAGCAGTGTTAAACCTAAAAGGGGTAAGGATTGAGCGGTATTACCTCTCTGCCTGCCTCTGCCTCAAGAAACTTCTTGTTTCTTTCGTGAGTCGATAAGTCGTAATGATAAACCGTGGGCGAGCGCAGAGGGGGAGCTGGGGGAACACCAGCCGGGATACAGGATGCCTCAGCGTCAGACAAGCCTAATGACGCAACGGGTTTACTCAATACAGCTTCAACTTGTGAGGGACAGGATAATACTTGCAGGATTTCCCACGTTTCCTATGACCAAAAACGGGCTGAGGACTCTGACACTGACAGATATTACGTGACAGGCACACGGGAAATAAGCTTCTCGGGACACCAGGGAAACACCAGATGCAAACTTTCGCGATGGCACACGCCGTGATGCTTTTTCTCTCGTGCGTTTTCGCAGGAGTGGTAAGTTTTAGCCACACTTCTCTACTCAAGTGAGTCTGTGCTTATTGTTATTGCGTGTTTTTGAGAGCGTGAAAGGAGTGAAATAATGTCTCTCCCTTGATTTCAGCACACATTAGCACCTACATATGAAGCAGAGGCGGTGAGGGAGAGCCATACAGGCGAGTTTCTTTTTGTTATTGTTTGTTTGTTTTTACTCTGGTCCTAAAATCATTTTTCCTATATTATTATTATTATTATTATTATTATTATTATTATTATTATTAGTTGGTGCTGCTGCACTCTTAAGTCCTGAGTGAGCTGATGTTTGCATAGGTGTTACCTGTAGGGGAGGGGGTGTAGCTTGCTTATGGATTTTTGGACATTCATTTGAAGTGAAAGGGGTCTTTGTGTGTGAAAACCAGCGAGAGAGTGGGTGGGTCGGGGTTTCCAAGACAGCTTCTGCTGCTAATGTTTTGTGTTTTCCCCTTTACGTCCTCTGCAGTTGTTACCACCACGGGCAAAGAATGTAAATTCCCTTTTCGTCAGGGTGGAAGGATTCATCATCACTGCATCACTGTCCTCTCCTCAAGACCATGGTGAGTCCTTATTAGCCAGCCTGTCTGTCTGGATCTACTGTCTTGGTTGCACAAACAGTCTGTAATGTGTGTGTAATCAAGTCAAAACACACTGATGACAGAAGTGTCAGTCCTCTGACACACACTGACAGATCTCTCTCTTCTCTCTCTCTCTTACACACACACACACACACACACACACACACACACACACGTTGTTTGATACGCATGATTTGAAACTTTTATTCCACAAAATGTAAAAAAATCATCTTTGGCTAATTTACAGATTATTTGATTGCATGGTTTGTATTGAACTTATTTTCTTAATACATCTTTTATTTTTTTGCTGTCTTGATGATGCGTGTTTATCATTGCCTTTGTCACTTCCCACTTAGTGTTGTCACTGTATATTTTATTCTACCACAGCGACTTGAAAGCAGCTCCCACTGCTTTTAAATGTGCTAATTAAATAAAAGCAACTAGCCTTGACTTGACAATACCCTTAGCACGGTCAAGGCGCATGTAGCAGAATAGCATCGTGACTGATGGAGCGGAGTCAGGCTGTGTGTTTTGATTGCTTGATAGTTAAGAAACAATGAGCCATAATCTTCCCTTTTCAATCTCAAACTTACTGTATACACACAGGTCAGACAGTTAGCTACACATCCATGATGCAAATCTCCGTGGTGCTTAAATTATGCTCATTTGTGACCGAAAATATCCGGTCACAACATTACACCGCCACCACCATCAGCCTGAATCATGGACTCGAGGCACAGATTCATGCATTCATGTTTTCTACACCAAATTCTGAGCCTACTCATTAGACCAGACAGCATTTATCTTCTGTTGGCAGGCGTTTGTAAATTGTAGCCCAAGTTCCCTGTTTTTAGCTGACAGGATCATGTGTTTTTCTTTCTCTTGTTGTTTTCCATCTGCTTCAAGGTTTGACGTGTTATGCGTTCAAAGCAGTCTGGCCATTCTCCTCTGATCTCTGTTATCAACAACACATTTTCACACAGAGAACTGCCACTCAGTGGATATTTTCTGTTTTTCAGGCCATTCTTTGTAATCCCCAGAGATTGTTGTGCTGGGATATTCCCAGTAGATCAGCAGTTTCTGAAATACTCGAGCCAGCTGGTCTGGCATCAATACCATGCCACATTCAAAGTCACTTAAATCCCCTTTCCTCCCGATGCTCGGTTTGAACTTCAGCAGGTTGTCTTGATCTTGTCTACATGTCTAAATGCATTGAGCTGCTACCATGTGAGGTGGGGCAAAATATCGATATTTTCATATATCGTATACCGTTTTCCTGTAGTACATTTATTGATGTACTGGTTTCAGATATCAATATATGTATTCATTATAGCAGACACTACTTCAGTCTTTGTGGTGGCAGTTATCAACTGAAGAGCTTAAAATGAGCTTAATGAGCTGACAAACAAACTCTTTACTTCTTTAAGTATAGTTCTTCTTGTTAAGTCACACAGATACAGTGTCATAGATGACTGTCTTGCAGTGGATTACAGTATCACTGGAATATATATATACAGAATATGTCTGTGTAAAAAATAAAAGCCAATATATTTATATCAGACTTTTGAATTTTATAACTTTAAAAGAAAGCACTGGAAACAGTCAACCTTTGTGGGGCTGGAAGATACAAAGTGCAGCTTTCTTCTCAAGGGAGAAATGTAGAGTTAGTGTTCTTATTTCTAATTGGTTGATAGTTCCTGGCTTTTTGCATGCCCTTAAAAGAACAAACACACTGGTGTTTTCCATCACTGCTGTAATAGCAATGATTTGTACACTGATGCAGTGTGTTTGGGGTGTGTAGTCACACCTAATTACAGCTCGCGGGGATGAGGGATTTATGCGACAGTGCCATCTGATCACAAATTTTAATGAGGTAATGAGCGAAAAAGCTTTAATAAAATGCTTATTGCTCAATTGCTGCTGGGGCCTGTGATGATTTTATCATAATACAGTGTTATCATTAATAACTGTGAAGATAAAATGCAGAGGTACTCTGTGAAACTGCAACTATAGCTGAAGTTTAGCCGTTTCACAGCATTTATCCTGAGGGTGCATAAACAGCTGCCTCAGTAAAACCATCATGGTGCAATTTGTTGTTGTTTTTAATCGCTTCAGATTGTGACACAGCAACAATCATCTTTTTATGATTTTGGAAAAAAAAACCAAAACAACAGGAGACACGCTGGCAGGGTTTCAGTCTTCACTACTTGGAAATGATGCAGAAAGGGTGGATGCCAGCAAGGTGGAGCAACGTTTATGCAATTATACATGGGCCAATATTTTCTGGTCCACCTACATGTAAAGTTGCGGCGGTTTGACCCTGCATGTTTTTGTGATGTGCTCATCAGCTCACCGTCAGAATGGGTTTGTCATTGAGTGTTGTAGTTACAGTGAGTGGAGAAGAGGTATGTTAATGTTGCGCAGGTTAGATTAGTGGATGATTGACAGAGTTAGTTAGTGTGTGTTGGCAGAAGATGCAGCGTTCTGGAGCAGGGTGTCAGTACTTGTGGGTTTGATTAAGGGTTGGGTAAAATCCTCTGCACATGGTTTACGCAATTTTATGTCACAATATCTATATGCCCAACTCCAACAGTATAGCATGACTAACCGTCAGCGGGCACGCTAACTTACACGCTTAGTCAGGATATGCTTACTAAGGTTGTAATCAGGGTGTGATTTGTGAAAAAGACGTTTGATGATTTATTTATTATTTATTTATTTATTTTTACATGAAAAAAAAGAGTGGTCCTATAAACTCCTTTATACAAATTCAGAACAAAAACATCCAACCATACTTAAAGAAATTACAGAAACTTGCTTAAGAGAGTTCAGGTTATGTTGAAGAATAAAGGTGATCATACCAAATATTAACTTTCAAGCTTGTTAGAATTGTGCAGACTCTGTTTTTGGCATATTTGCTGCATTTGCTGACTTGCAGGTGACTCTCTTCCTGTTTCCTTTGTCCCAGGTGCTCTCTTACACACAATTTTGATCGGGACAGGAAGTGGGGTTTCTGCGCACCAGAGAGAAGCCACCCAAATGGTTAGCTCACCAAACCAGCTGCAGATTGAATTTCCACTGCTGTTTAATTAGAAACTACAGTGTTGCGGTTGTTCTCCTGCTGATTATGTTTTGATGTTTTGATTTCAGTTTTTGTCCACACTTCACGCAGAATCACAGATCCATGTCAGGCGAACCCGTGTCAGAATGGAGGCGTCTGCACAGCGATCCCACACAGACGCACATTCGAATGCTCCTGCCCTGAGAGCTTCTCTGGGAGAATATGTGAACAAAGTAGGCACCTTTATTAATATTCTATCAATTAAAGGTATAGTGCTTGTCATCCATTCATATTTGGTTTTGTCAGACTGTCTTTTTTTTGTCTGTTCCCTGAACATATTCACATCAAAGTGCACATTAGGCAGCCCATTGTCATTCATCTGTTGTCCACAGATGTAAAGCAAAATCAAAAGCATGCCAGCTAAAAACTCTGTAATCAAATTCATGCTTAGTGAAGGCAGTTGAGTGTGAAGAGTTAACTCCTTCTTCTCTGGGGAGCAGTGAGCCACATAGAGAGGCTATATTTGTTAAAAATGCTCAACTGTTGACTTTTCAGAAAGGTTGCAGATTGTGGCTCATTATGCAAAGAGGCCACTCATCATACAATGACTAAATTGGTGTGGCATTTGACGTGCTTCATTTCTGCTACATCTGCTACATTCAATAACGTTGTAGTTTACTGGCTCACTGGTAAGTGCTGTTATTTACACTGATTTACAGCTTTGATTAGGAGGAAAATTGCTGTCAGTAATTGTTGGAGGTTTGAAAATTTCACTGGTGACAAGAATAAGGATACTTTTATCCACAGAGCCCAACGCTGTTCTTTGTGAGCTTACCTTTTTCCAGCTGTGAGCAACTAAATTTGGAGATAGAAAATTTACATTATAATCTGGACTCGCTGTGCTTGCACAAGGTTTTCTATGGGAGTCAAAGAGCATGCTAGGTTATAAGGCTGCCTGTATGGTCCCAAAATACACTCCCAAAAGAGACATTTGATCTTAATTTCCTGCATAAATAAAGGTTGATAAAAAAAAAGGAAACAAACCGTGATGACAAACAAAAGCATAACAGTCTAAGTTCACTCTTGATTATCACAGTAGTTAAGAGTCTGTGTGGCTTTCAACCCCACCTCATGTAACCCTGTTCTGCCGCTGGCACTAGCACCACCCCATCTGTTAGTTCCAGAGATTTACACATTTACAATAAAAAAAGATTGTGGCCGATGCCAAAAAGCTGCCACTAGCAAAGCACCACAAAGTTGCCGTGCCCAAAGGTGGAATCACTGATGTCTGATGCAATAAATTCTCCAATGACTGGCAAGCTGTGATTATCAACTTTTGTAATTATTGGTTCCCAAGCAGGAGCTTCATATCCTGAAGGAGTTAAGGCAGAACTGGTTACAGACCAGCAGTGACACAGTGATTTCGCTCTTTTTTAGCAGCAAATGTAGTTTGTTTAATTGACTTTAAACTGGTTTAGCTGCATTCAGCTATAGCCTCACACGCCACTGACAGACGTGACCTGATGCTATCAAGATGACAACTGAGCAATCTCTATTTGCTGATATAGACACTGAGATGTGATTGAAAGATCTGAGTGGCAGTCTTACGTTCGCCACGGTCCTATAAATGCGGCATACACTTCACAATAACGTGACGTGTATAACATTGAAATGACATGCCAGTTTCATTTAATCTGTGTTTTCCATTAAAATGCTGCTGAAATTTCACGTGCTTGCCTTCAGGCCAAAATAATGGCAAATCAGTTATGAGTCACCTGTAAACAGGTTTCACTTTTCAGCTGAAAGCAAAGCAGTGAAAGAAGATGGAAAAACACAGAAAAATGGATCCATCGCAGCAGCTCAGCCATCGGAGATTTGCTCCGTACGCTCCATTGAGCTCTTCAATCTGCTCTCCCATTTCAGCCCCGACGCCTTTCATGTGTTGTGTCGGCTTTTTCAGAGAAGTGCTACGAAACCGTACACCTGCGCTATTATGACATCGGAGAGTCTTGGGGACGAATTCACCTCCGTAATGTGGAACAGTGCACATGTGTGGCAGGGGAAATCAAGTGTGAGAGAGTCCACTACACGAGTAAGACATGCTTTCTGCTTTTGTTGTTCTGCTCTGAATGTGTCCAGTTTTTTTTTTCTTGGCCATTTTTTGCTATTTTTGGGGTGATGAGAGCAAAACTCAATAGGCTGCAATGACTTCAGCGCTATTTGCTTTGACAGCTGCTTGAATTGATGCTCAAATCGGCGAATGACAAACGAAATATTGCTACATGTTGGAATGTTTTGGGGTTTGTTTGTTTTTACATTAAATAAACATAAAGATAAAAACCTAGCAACCTTAGCAACTCATATAATTTAAAAAAAAATAGTATACAACTTGATCTCAGGCCTCCAAAAAAGTATCAGATCTCCTCCTAGCCTGAAGAAATGTTTTTTTTTTCCACTCTCATAAGAGGGGGTTTGAAAGACGTGCCCTACCCTTTCTTTGATCACAGCTCCATAGTTACAAGAGTAACTTTGCATTGAAGAAAAGGCAGATTATATGACTCACTGTGACTCAGGAATGGTGTTTTAGGACACACCCCATGGGTCCATAGGGTGCTTTCATCTCAATGTTCACGGGCATTTAGCAGATTCCCCTGGCATAAAGGAGATACAATCAGAGAGGTATTTTCATGCTTCTTCAGCTGAAACTGCTTTTGTCATGATGATAGGGGCTCAGCTTACAGGAGTCGCAGAACTAAAAAAAAAAAAAGTTTTCTAGCTTGAACCTGACCCTTAATGTGCTTTACATTGTTTTTCTTCAAAGCACATCAGGACTGCTCACTTTCAGTAAAACCCAATAAACTCATGGCATCTCTGATCCCCAGCATATTTTCTGTATGTTATATTATTTCACAAGAGGCTGCTCAGACCCAGATATATTACATGTACATAAGAACACAGATGCATGGGTGAGAGCGAACCAAAACCAAAAAAATGAGACTGGAAGATGCTAGTAAGGCCACCTGAGCGGAACTGTAGAGTCAGGTTAAAATACTCAGAGGTTTCTTTTGCAGTTTTATTTTGGTAATCTAAGATTTATTGATAATTACATTTAAAACCTGCGTAAGAAAAACCATGATGGTGTAGAAATGCTAATTATTGTTGAATTATTGTCTGTTATAAACGTACTATTACAGTGATTTATAATGATTGATGCCACAATACAGAAGTTTTAAATAGCGAGGTCAGTGTATGTCAGACTAATCCCTGTGAGCCAAAAGCTCAGGCTTCATACTGCTCTAAATGCTCAGTTTCACACAGTTTTTCTTTTCAGACGCGGCCATGCATGATTTAATACATATAGTACATACATAATACATATATATTATATACATATAATAATTCATACCTCATACACAAAACAGCAGCAACCACCTAAGTGCTGTTTAAGCTTTCTCGTTATGAGGGGCAGCCAATCAGCATAAAGTTCCCTTAACGCCCCAGTCGCACACGTCTTCAAAGTAAAAGTTGTACAACTTACGTTCTCTGTTTTACTAACACTTCGCAACTAGCTGGTGAGTGTTTGCAGATGAGTCTGTGGCTGCCACACAAATTACTTGAGACAACAGCAACTTGCTAGTGTCCAAAAAGAATCACAAGGAAGTTTTAATGCATCAACAGCAAGCAACAGGTCAGTCAGGCAATACACTTTTTACCTTAGCAACTGGTGGTTTCCTTGGTTTAGTTCAGACCGGTTGTTCCAAAGTGTAAAAATTGCAAATGTCTGGCCATTTGCTACAATTTTGTTGGCATCTATAGGAATTCTACTTCAGGACTCTACATTAACTGCTTACATTCAGAATTCAGAATCTCATAGATTTGAAACAGAAATTCCTCCAAAGACAGTAATGTAGGAATGGCAATTTTAATAGTTGCAATTTCCCAGCAAAATGACCTAGGTGCTCGGCAACCTTTTTATTTTATAGAAATATAACCAGAATACAATACTTTTAAACTGTGCATAGCGACTATCATAATGGGTCCGTTAAACAAGCTAAATGTTAATAAAGTTTTGCTGAAAAACAAGCATTTTAAAGAGAATGGCATTAGGATGTGACAGTGTGTGTCTTGATGTGTCCAGTGTGCCGTACAAACCCATGTCAGAACGACGGAACGTGTCGACTGATCGTATCCACCGGAAAGGAAGTGTGTAACTGCAGGCATGCCTACAGTGGACCTCACTGTAGTCTCGGTAAGTCATACGCTGAGTGCTACGTTCCTGTTTTCATTCAAATGAAAATACAAAATTTGCTCTGAGCAGAAAGCACAGTTGACATGAAATGATGTTTGTATCGGGCTAAAAATAGCAGAGGGCAGAATTTCTAGTCACTGCAGTCTGCATAGAGCCAGAGTCTTTGTCATATGCGAGAGCAGATGTATGGAATCCTCATTGTGTCACGTATGCACAGACGCATGCTCGTGCATGTGTGGATGACAATAGTTTGATTAATGGTCACAGGAGAGGGCGTGCTGGTGAGCATGTAGCCAGCTGTCATTGACGCGTTCAGAGAGAGGTTTTAAAACGTGTTCTGACTCATTCTGAAGAGAAGAGAGCTGTCATCGCACACACATATCTGCTGCATCGGGAGTTTGTGTGATCGCTTTCATATTGTTTACATACCTGTGTTTTACTGTGGTTACGGCTGGGATTATTTCCATGTCTCTCTCTCTCTCTCTCTCTCTCTCTCTCTCTATGTGGCTTGTGTGAGCAGAGCCAGAGACAGAGTGCTATAGCAGCAGGGGCACAGGTTACAGAGGCCTGGTGGGCACCACCGTGTCCGGCGCCCGGTGTCTGCCGTGGAACTCAGACCTGCTGTTTGATGAGCTCCATGTGGGCACAGTGATTGCATCACCTGTTAAAGGCCTTGGGGAGCATGCCTACTGCAGGTGTGTGTGCTAAATCATCCTGCCTTAATAGCAGCTATGGTAGATTTTCTAGTAGTTGTTTCTTCAACAGTTAATCAAAATGAGATATTAAAGCCTTTGTCGGTTGCTGTGCTGCAAACAGTCTTATCTGGAAGGCCACATTTCTATACAGTTTGCACATAATTTCTGTTTTAAACCTGCAGTATCCAACTTTTTTTTTACCCTGAGCTAGCAAAAGCCGTATGCTCCTTATCTGTCAACTCCATGTGTCAACTCTTGTCATTCGTGTGACTTACGAGCACATAGCTACTGAGGGGGAAACCCTGAAACCATCATGCCAAAAGGCTTATCTCTGGCACATTCACCCTTCCTGCCTTCTTCCATCAGCTGATTTCTTACTATGACTTCTCATGAGCAGGAAGACATACTGACAGCAAATGGCACGTTTCCCAAATTTTCCCAGACCAAAGCAAACAATGGGACTTAGACTTACACCCAGGCTCGGATAGATCATTAATTATTGGTAAGATTGCATTTTGCAGCTTTAAAACTAAAACCTGAATCCTGGTTGTTAAAACGTGAAACGAATGTAGAAAGAAAGCGAATTATCTGAGTGTGAGTGTGTGGATTTGAATGGCAATGGAGCCCCTGTGAGACATTCAGCTAATGAAGCAATATATAAAGATAGGAAGCAGCGAGGCTACACGCACAGAAGCACGCACACACTCTGTCCGTTGTGTATCTCTGTGTGTAGGAACCCAGACGAGGACAAGAAGCCTTGGTGTTACACAATAAAAGACAACGCCATCTCCTGGGAGTACTGTGACGTCCCCTCCTGTGTGATGGCTGCGTGTGAGTAAGCAGGACGCAGGGAAGGAGTTTGTGTGCAGAATGTAATTATGTTGTAATTGAGGCGTTATATTGGAGTGTGGATATGCTTTAGCATAAGATTAAGGCATACATCTGTTAGCTTGACCAGACATCTGAGCTGTTCTGCAGTTTAAATCTATATATGTACATATTCAAATACCCCTCGTTTGTAATAATGTTCATATCTAACTCTTGGCTTAATTTTGTTTCCTCGTTAAGAGTATCAGATTTATTTAGCTGCCACTCTCTGAACATTCATTCCATCATTACAACATGCAATAAGTAATGATCTTACACAAAGGTCACGCAGTGCAGCAGCGTTGTTAGGATGCCTGGGTCGTTGACCCAGGGTTTTTGAGTTTTTGATATTATTTATACTTCCTAGTTTTTGGTTTCTTTGAGTTCTGTCTTATGGCTTATGTCTCTGTCTTCTTTAGTTGCTCTGTCTCCCCTATCACCTGCATCCCCTTGTCTAGTT